GATGAATTTGTTTATTTTTTATATATGTGGCTTGAAGTGTGCTTCTGGCTTATTCTAACTAAGCAATTTCCTTTTTCAGTCTCCTCTTCCAGTGTCACATGTCCAGCGAATGCAGCAAGTATATGACTTCAATGCTATAAACAATTCTGAAATAAGATTCAGGTTTGTTCTAGTATGGGCATTTTTCTAATCTTAAATGCTTTCATAGAACAAAGTGTCCTGCTTCATGAATTGTCTGAGACATACTGTTGTACAGAACTGGTGCAGGTTTTTTGGGTGTGTTTTGTTGTTGTGGGCTTTTTTGCAAGTGCATGCGCAAACATGCTTACCAGAGTGGTGCTGTTACTCGCGAATTGAGTAAATACAGTGTAGAATCATAGAATAGTTAGGGTTGGAAAGGACCTTAAGATCATCAAGTTCTAACCCCCTGCCATGGGCAGGGACTCATCACACTAAACCATGCCACCCAAGGTTCTGTCTAACCTGTCCTTGAGCACCGCCAGGGATGGAGCATTCACAGCTTCCTTGGGCAACCCATTGCAGAGTAGAGGGGCAGGATCACCTCCTTTGACCTGCTGGTCACGCTCCTTTTGATGCAGCCCAGGGTACGGTTGGCTTTCTGGACTGCAAGCGCACACTGCTGGCTCATGTTCATTTTCTCATCGATCAACACCCCCAAGTCCTTCTCTGCAGCACTGCTCTGGATCTCTTCTCTGCCCAGCCTGTAGCTGTGCCTGGGATTGTAGAGCTGGACATGAGCAGTGGACTAGCTCTGTTTTATTTTCATCTGCCATACTAGCAAAGGAACCTGACAACTTATTTTGGGGGTGGTATTGGATAATAGAATAGGGAGCCTTTCTGTGAATCAGTGATGCCTGAAAAATCTTTCTAATATTTATTTACTCAGGTCTGGGTCTCTGGACTAACCTACTCACTTCTGCTGCGATGCCAGTGAGGTTTTTTTCAACACAACTTGAAAACTTTTTTATCATTTCCATGCTCACTATCACAAACCTTTTGTCACATCAGAAAAAAAAGTACATATCAAAGGAAGTTTCTAATCAGTTAGGAAATGCTCCTGGCTAAATGGCTTGATTCTTCTGCCATCCTAATCAGTTAGGTTTGTATTTATGCATTGTGTTCCCACAGGTCACACGATAAAAAAAGCTACTGTTGAGGACATAAGTAATCTTTACAAGTATCTTGAAGTATTGTGTGTTTTGTGACTGTTACATACTTGGATACATTTGCAATAGTCACGATTATTCTGCTTTAACTCTCTTAGACTATGCACGACTTCTGCCTTGACGAACTTAGAGTTGTTTCTTATCAAAAGCCCTAAGTATTTGAAATATACAGTCTAGTTTCTACTTCTTGTAACAAGAACAATTTCTTAATAGCTTTAAAACAAAACAAGCATGCCAGTTGCTTGGTGGCATTCTGGGGTGGCTTTTGTTAGGAGTTTTTTTAATCACTTGGTCAAATATGACAAGTGCTATATAATTCAGCCCTAATTCTGAGTGATGCAACTGGACACCACTGTAATATAGAAGACATGTATAGCTGCAGAAAATGATCAAACCATTTTGGAGAAAGCTTGAAGCAATTTTTTCTTATTTTATAGAAAAGCCCACTTTTGTAGCATGCTAGTCAAACACTGAATATTTTATGTTGAACTTGGCTTGAATATCATTCCCATGATGACACAGCACTGCCCAGTGTGCTTATGGGAACAGAATCATAAGATAACCACTGCAGATAAAAATTTTTAAAAGTATAAGGTTTTTTTGGTTTTATTTTTTTTCTCAGATGGCTGAGACTCTGCATCAAGGCCAGGTGGGAAGAAGCTATTCCTCTGGCTCTAAAAATGGCAACAGATCAGGGCAGGATGAAGTTTACTCGACCCTTGTTCAGGTAAAAGCAATTACCAAATTGTAGGAGCTCATGCTGTTGGCATTTTTAGTATTACGGAATGTATAATACTTGACGTTGTACATGTATGCTATGCTTCAAAGTGATACAGTACAGAATTTTCTGTATACTATGAACAAGCTTCTCTTCAGAGTTACTATCCACTTGCTGATGTTTCTTAGTAGAAGGCGGCTTGGTGTCCCAGTATGCACCTTAATGTGAGGCTTTCAAAGGAAAAGTAAAACCTAGATAAAATCCCCATTGTACTATTTCCCTGTATTCTTGTAATGGGGCCTTTTTTCTCCTCCTTTTGCAGGGACCTTTACAGTTTTGACAAGTGTCGAGATCTGACTGTCAAGACATTTCTGGAGCATAGAGCCTCTATGCACCCAGTCACTTCAATGCTTGTGGGCAAAGACTTAAAACAGGAGCAGTGACAAATTTATTGATTTTTTTTTTTTGATGTTTTCTTGCTGCTGGAAGAGGAGACTGATTCCACAAACTGTTGATACGTGTGCTCGATTACACCATGAAATGCTCTGCTGCTTTGGTACTAATTTAGCTTAAAATGAACTTTCCAAATCAAGTTCAGTACTTCCTATTTTGCGTTTACAAATAAAACAGCAAAACTGCTAAATCTCTGTATCTGGGAGAATGGTTTTGTTACAAGTGATTTTTAGAACACACAGGAAAGCTGTTCCAAGACGTAGTCATTTGTCTGTCATGGAATTTAAAAACAAGAAAAACTAATTGGTGAGTGATATGGCTCATTGTGCACAGCTTTCTTTTTCGTAGCAACATGCTTGAAGACTAAAAAATAAATCTTTACATTGTCTACTTGTCTGTGTATTGATCTCTACAAAAAGTTTTCAAATAGTAGTTTTATTTGCTCTTCTATGTTGAGGGAGCAATTTTTATTACAGGTCCAAGAGGACTGTGAAGATGCAAATGGATTTCAACCTACTGTATAGGAGGGTTTAAGCCCAAGTCTTTCCTTCCCCTGTTTGAATTTTTTAATAGTTGCATTTTTTAGCAGTTCTGGGCAGTTCCCCTTATGCTAATATCACAATTTAGAGATAAGTTTAAAAACAGTCAGAGGTGCCATTTTCCTTATGATTTTTACAGCACTGCAGTTCAAGTGGATGGTTTAGGTGAAGCTGTTGTGAATGCTGCCATCTGTAGATTGTTTTTTGAAGTGAGTTTGGCAAGAACTGCTTTTCCTGGAGATGATCAGTTAGCCTCTGTTGAACGCAGAGATAACCCCCGTGTTGTGGAGTAAAAATCATTTTGACAAAGTGCTGTTTCAGAGGAGGAAGTTACCAAATACAGGTTGTGGCACAAGGCTTGGGTTTAGTAACTTAGAATTAGTTATTTAATAACTTAGGGTTAGTTACTTCAGTTAGTGTGGGAGCCTATCAGTTTATTTCTGTTCTTAGTTTTGATCAGTATAAGCTTTCAAGCAGATGAAGTTATGTACTTTACCAAGAAATTAATCTTTTCATGCTAAGAGCTCTAATATAAATTAAGACATGAAGAGGTCTTGTTGGATTCTATTAATTCAAGACATCCTGAGTTCTTCCATGCAACTTTAACCTATATATCTATGTAGTTTAAATAAAAATGACTGAAAAATTAACTCCTAGGTCCATGAGGCTCAAAAGTGAGTTTAAATTCTTTCTATGAATGTTGTGACACTCAGCTTCTAATAAACACAATGAAATCCTGGCTTTTTTGAAATATAATAGCATAATTTCCTTGTATGTAAAGTGTTTACAGGCTTGTGTTAAGGACCTAATAGGCCATTCATTCTCTCCTTGCTGCTCCTCTAAACAAGTGATAAGTTCTGCTGGAAAATTCCTGAAAGGAATTTTTCTATTTTTCAGGTTAAAAATTTATGCAATTCCTTTCATTTACTCCCAAAACCTAATCAGGCTTCTGCTACAGTGTCACCTGAACGAATGAGATTTCCCTTGGGCAAGTCTCTGGTAGGAGAAGGGGGTCCCTGGTATTAATTGGTTCTGGTCCAAGCTATCAGATTGCAATGAAAACTCCTTTGTTTTAGAAATGTTTTATATAACTAGTTTTGGGTAATGCATTGTCATAAAAGCCCATTTATCATACATAGTGATCTGGCAGTTCATGCTGCCAGATAATCCTGTTGGTTTTTTTTGCTGTCAGAGCTAGAAAAAGAAATTGGTGGTAGGCATGGTTTTCACTAGTGTCCTGCTCTGCTGGGGCAGTCTGTCTGTCTAATCTCGCTCATAGAGACTCCCACCTGTGGGTCTCAATTTAAAATTGCCCACAATAAGTCAACCACAGGTAAGTGCACTTTATGATAGTGCTTTTGTCTGGTAACACTATTGTGGATAGCATGAACTACAAGTGGTGTTATTGTTTTATCTTTAAAGGCAAAGGTATTTTCAGCCTCTGTGTGGACATGGTTATTGCTAAACTTTATTTTGGCACCATTTTGATAGGTATTTCTCCAGTTCTTTTCCTCTGCATCTGCCAGCAAAAGAAGCATGAAATAGCAGCACCAGGCTTGGTAGTATGCAGTTGTGGCCTAATGCTTCTTGTTATCTGTTGTAGCAACATCTTCCAGATCATAAATGAAAGGGTAATGAAAATTTAGGTGTTTTTCTCACCTACAATGCAAATATTATGTTTTCAGACTTCAGCATGGGACTGAGCAAAGTGGGCTTGCTGCCTCTGCTGCCTGCTTTTACCGTGCAGTACATAGAGGTATGAAAGTAGTATAATCCGTTTTCTTCCAAACTTAGCGGCCATGACCAACCCATATTAACAGGGTGACTTTTCCAGCCCTGTCCATCATGGAGGTTTTCATCAGTGTGATCTACCGCCAGGTGACAACTTTGTTAACTCCTGTTAAACCCTTAAGTTTTTAGAACAGTTGCATTCCAGCTTAGTCTGATTTATTTATCTAATATTGGTACATAAGACCCAGCTCCTGGATTTTCATTTCTATATCCCTGATGTGATCTTTGGGGTAAAACAGTCCTGTGTCAATAGTTTGGGGGACTTGCCTTTCTATGAAAAGGGAGTTCTCCCTGGGATTGGTTTGATTGGATGAAGTCAGTTGAATACATTGATCTCACTTATTTACAAAGGTGGGGATTTTGAGGGTGGATTTTTGCCTCTCACTGATTGTGACATTGGACTCCAGCTAGAAGCTGTCTTCAGGCCATCACATAGTAAATGTAAGGCTGCTGCACGCTGCAGCCCTTCTCTGTCAAGGGACAGTTTGGGGGAGAAAGCATGCCGAGATACACAGTGCATGTCCGAGGAGAATGGCTGGCAGTGCCATGTCAAAGCAGCACCAGCACAGTTGGGTGGCTGGGAAAGGAAGCTGTGAGACGGTACATGAAGAACAAACCTGACAATGGGGGATTTTCCTCTGTAGAAGAAGTAAAATTTTACGTTCGAAGGTGCAAAGGACTTGGCCTGCTGGATCTTGAAGATACAGTGGAGGATGCTCTGGAGGATAATGAATTTGTTGAAGTTGGTAAGCAAAGTGTTAAGCAACACATTGCAGAGTGACCATGTTGGCATCTGTGTCAGCAAACTCTGTCTTAGTTTATCTAAAATTGCGTCTGAGAGGGCATTATGACTTTTACGGAAAAATGCCAAAATGCTTTAAGAATGTTAGAACTATATAAAGCTTAGAAAGTACAGGATTCTAGATGTATCACCAGCATATGATTTCATATATAATATATGCTTGGGTTGGGCTGTACTGCTTTTGCCTTTAGAGTACCTTAAATGAATACATATTTGCTTGCTATTTTCCTATACGCGTACAAATACATTCAGGGTTGATACAGCTGTAATAATTATAATTTGAAGTTGTGTTAGAATAAATAACAAAGTAATTTATGTGTAGAATGCAATTTAATTCCACTTGCGTTTATTCTGCTTATTTCTCCTAGTTATAGAAGGAGATATAATGTCTCCCAATTTCATACCATCTCAGCCAGAAGGAGTTCATTTGTATCCTTTTTTTGGTGCTATGTGAACTATTTATAATTCCAGATCTATAATTCTCTAGATTTCCCTGTTCTTTTAGAGTTCCTTCATTCTTAAAACACATTACCAGCTGTAGTCAAATGGTCCCTACTGTGAAATCCAGTCTGCCCTTTTTTTTCCTTTACAGAACCTTCAGATACAGCAAATACCGAGAGCCAGAACAGGTAGGAACTACCAGTGATTGTACAACTCAGTAACAAATCCTGTTACTCACCAAAAAACGTGCAGAGAGTTGAGCCACTGCAGCATTCACAAGTGCAGGGGCTGTTAGATTGGCTGGGCCCAGGAAATTCAATTATATAATGCGCTTATTATGTTTCTGTTAGTGAGTTCCTGTCTTGCAAATAAGCATGAGCAGCCTTCCTGTCATTGCTGAGTTTTAAGTATATTTGTTTTAATTCTGATTATTAAGCAACTTGATACATATCCCGAACTAAAAGGTGGTTCTTCGGTCTAGTATATTTTTTTAGATGGCAACAGTTTAACAACGGAAGACTTGGTCAATTTAGGAAAGGGGCTCTACAAGATCAAGGTAAAGATTCTGAATAAATGTGGCTAAAAATTGCATGTTTACCTTGTTATAGTCTAAATAATAATAGAAATAGATAAACTAATATTTAAACTACTCATGTTTTAGCTCACGCCTGAAGCTGAAGCAAAAGTCAATGAATCACGAGAAGTGATTGAAAGGATCGTAAAGGAACAGACAGGTAAATATTTTTAGTCTAGCTATTAATTGTTCAGAAAACTTAACTGCGTTCCTTCCTTAACCAGCAGCGTATGTTTCTTGCAGTTGTTTATGGAATCACCACAGGGTTTGGGAAGTTTGCCAGGACAGTCATCCCAAACAGTAAGCTGAGGTAAGTTGTTTGTGCAGCTTGCTCCATCCTTTCTTTTCAGGAAAGGAAGAAGAGGGAGTGGTTTGACCCTGTACATTTATATTCTGTGGTTAGATGAGAGGGTTGCTTCAGTAGTTCCCTCTGTTCCATGCAAAATAAACCCTGATGAGACTTATTTGGGGTTTTACTTTTTTCCTTTTTGTCCGTAGGGAGCTTCAAGTGAACTTGGTTCGCTCACATTCAGCTGGTAATGAGAAATCACCTGATGTTTCCCTCTTCTGTCACTGTTGGTAGCAGGTTAGTTACCAAAAAGGTTACTGTTTCAGGTGTGGGGAAACCCTTAAGCCCAGAGAGGTCTCGCATGCTGCTGGCACTGAGAATCAACGTCCTGGCAAAAGGATACAGTGGAATATCTCTAGAAACGCTCCAACAAGTTATTGAAGCATTTAATGGTAAAAAGATATTTAAAGAAAGTCCCCTTTCCCTAATCTTTTTCTTTTAACTGTTTTATTAAAGGGTGCAGCTTAATGGGTCAAGCTATGGATGTTGCTCTTTCAACTTGGTAGTTGTGAGAGATCAGGACCAGAGGTCAGCTTGACAAGCTCACAACTAGAGACTGTTCCTCTGTTGAAAAAAGAGGGGTATGAGAAGAACTGACAGGAACGGCTGAGAGAAAGGGATGAACTTCAGTAGGCATAAGTTTAGGAAATGAGCCTCTGAGAGGTTAGGTAATTAGTGCAATACTAGGCTGAACTGGGAGCATGACTGATTTGGGGTGATCTTTTCCTCAAGGGCTTAAGTCTAATGTCCTGTTGGGTATGTGCCGTTGTGTGCCACCATCTTTAGGAATGCTGGGATTTTGGGGAGGGAGGTAGCTATTACCATGTAGATAACTGTGTGTATTGGTGTTTGTCAAGCAGATCCACTTAAGCAGCACCTGGTTTTGTGAGTAGAACCCCACACACACCTACACAAGTGTTTGTAATCAAGGGCTACAAGGCAGCAACGCAGAAGTGTGTGGCTAGTCAGCAGCTTATGTGGCCACAACTGTCAAAGCAGTTGAAGTTGCTTTGCCACAGATGTTGTGGCAGGGAAACCAAAGGGGTGGCTGTGCTGTTTGTCAGCTGATGTCCAGTGATGGTCCCTCTGGGAAGGCATGCCAGTGCAGCAGTGATGAGTAAAGAGCACCTTCTCCCTATGTTAGAGTATTACATTCAACTTTCCTTCTCTTTTTTTTCCTAAACTATAGATTGGAAGATTGTTGTGAAACTATAGATCATGCACGTGAGAGAAGAGTCACATTCATATACAAGGGGCCCAAAGAATACAGGCTTTGTGCTGCCTTCTGTTATACCCCCCTCCACCAACAGTGGGTGAAGGAGCTGCAATTTAGTGTTTAGCTCTGCAAAAGAAGAGAATTGGACTGGTTCCTTCCCTGCTTTTTCTGAAGTTCCCTGGGTTCAGTTTCTTCATTTCCACCCATTCAGTGCTCAGAAGACTAGGATGGAGGGAAGAGGACTCGGAGATGCCCCATCTCTGGAATTGCTCCAGGCCAGACTGTATTAGGTCTGTGAGCAACCTGATCTAGTGGAAGGTGTCACTGCCCATGGCAGCTGAGTTAGAACTAAGGGAGAGATCTCTAAGGTCCCTACCAACCAAAACCATTTTATCATTCTATCATAAGCTGATTTCTAGGAGTTTAGTGGAGTGAGAATGAGGAGGTAGGTTTGTCCACATCAGTCTTCACCCTGCATTAGAGAGCTGAGAAGAGTGATGTTTTACCTGCCCGGCTGTGTGGGTGTACCTGCAATCACCCTGGACTGTGGTCACCCCACTCCAAAACTAAATGCAGGGCTAAATGCAGAAAGGATTAATTTCTTCATAAACTACAGCTAGCCTGTGAGCAGGGACAAATCCCAGTCTGCAACAAGAGTAATCCTGTTGGTGCTATTGACTATGATCAAAGGATGTTATTGTGACTGCACTCATATGCTGGCTTCTCTGTTTTCCAAGGAGTATCAAGAGGCAGCTCTAACAGGAGTCATTTTTGTTTTCTTCCTAGCATCCTGCCTTCCTTATATCCCAGAAAAAGGAACAGTTGGAGCCAGTGGAGACTTGGCCCCCCTCTCTCATCTTGCTCTGGGATTAATTGGAGAGGGAAAAATGTGGTCCCCAAAGAGTGGCTGGGCTGATGCTAAATATGTAAGATTCATGCGGCCGATTGCTTTTTCTTCTACTTGCTGGCTCATTTGCCAAATTGTGTGCAGCCTTGAGAGAAAGAGAGCTTTCTCTCAGATTAAGAGTATGTAAAAGACTTTGGATTTTTTTGTACCAGTCTGAACTGGGACTAAGTTTCCTTTAGTACTCATTCTCCACCTTGAGGAAGGTGGATCCATGAGAATGGAGTATCTGACCCACACTCAGTGGAGCAGATATGAATGCGCAGCATGTTATTAAGTCCTAAAGAAATACCATGCCATAGTTTTGCAAAACAAGATAGCATAGTGATGTAATTTAGGACCTGGAGAAAGGGACAGGATACCAGCTATGAAAGTATAGTTACTACATCTTGAGCTCCATGGACATCAACACTGTTCCAAAAAAAAACAAGATCACCTCAAATTCAAACCTTTAAATGCTGAGAGCAACTGGAGAGTATTTGAGGCAGTAACTCATATCAGTAGCATTACTACTGATTTTATAATGGCTTTAAGTGAACACACACGTTTGGACATTTCATTTTTTTTGATAAATTAACTAGGGTTCCAAGAAACATTTATAACACTCTCCTTTGCAAGATGGAAGCTTTACAATGGAATTAATTTTTAATTAATTGTGAATTTGCCACTAAGACATCAGCAGATTGATTTAGCTTTGAGTGTCTCCAAGTCTGGCCCCTCCAGAGTCTTTTGTGATGGTTTGTTCTGATACATCTGTCACTCCTATCCATGAATATTTGAACACCAGATTTATTCATGGATTGGTAGCTGTACCCTTGCTGTAGGCTGGAGAAATGCTGAGAGCTGCACAGGGAGAGAAGTAAGAAGGAAGCAGGCTGGTGTGTTCTGGACCTTTGGGACCAGAAGTTACAGTTGTACACCTCTGAGACGTTATTACCTCTTCAGTTGGAAAGGTTGAAAAGACTATAACCAGAGTCAAAGCTATACCGTTCCTCTATTTCTCACAAGAGTGATTGCCCTATGGAATAGACATGTATAGAATAAACCGAGTAGGATTTCGATCATTGGAGGTCTTCCGTAGAAATGGTTAGGGAACCATTTATAAAGGAGTAGTTTATGTGAAGCCAAACCTGTTATGAGGCAGGGTGTAGGCAGAACTACCTTCTCAAGGTGTTTCCAGCCTTGGCTACAATTACTCTCTTCCATCAGCTGACACCTGGTAAATGTTAATGGGCTGTGGCAGTGTCCTGCTCCTCTGTTCCTACTACTTTCTTCTATTGGCACTGGGAAATGAAGTGCTAGTTCAAAAGCCCCAAAATGCTGTCCTTTATTTAGCCCAGCAGAAAAACAGTATTTTAAATGTTTGTATAGAAAGGTCATTTTCACCTGTTGCTTAAGGGATTTGTTAATATTTTTATTTATGGAAACATATAAGATTTGAAATATTTTTGGTGAATGAATTACTGGAAACCTTTTGTATTAATTACCCTTTCATTAAACTCCTTCACAGGTCCTGGAAGCCCATGGTCTCAGACCAATTACCTTGAAACCAAAAGAGGTAATAAAGTATAATGATTCCAGCTGATGGAAAACAAGCATAGTCGATCACTATGCTTACAATTTAAGCATGAAATGAATTAACAGTCATTTTAAATCAAGCTCCAGAAGGATATTAATGAAATATTATCAAGGGTGGGATTCACCTCTCTTAGTATCACCCTATTTGACTTGAAATGTCAGACCCAAGCCTCATGTTTAGATTGGCTCTGTAGTTGGTGGACATAGGCATCTTCAGAAAACTCTTTATATCATCCTGAAACGGCTATCTAAGAAGCCTTCTCAAGGTACCTATTTGCCCATTGACTGTAACAGGAGCTCAGATGACTGACTTGAACCAGGTGTTTGACTTCTAGATCATTAAAACTAGGTGAGATGAATCTCACTCTGAATATTAACATTTACATGGGAATACAACAGGTTTGAGGGCTGTGGACCTTTTTGATAATGGACCTCAGTAGTTATAAAACAGCACCAGAAGCAAGAAGCCAAATTCATTGTCTTCTAAAGGCAAATGAAGGCTCCCATGGGCCTCATGTTTGCTTAGAACAAATCTTTTAAAGCAGTTATAACTTCTAATGCTCTTTTAATATACTACTTCCTCATTGCACCCCCCATGCTCATAACTTTTGAGGTTTAATAATTTAAGAAGAAACAATAAGAATAGGATTCCACTTCCAAAGGACTGGAAAAGAATAAATATTTTCTGTGCTTTACTTGCTTGAAATAAACTTGGAAAAACATTAAGTAAACCTCTTGCTTGAAACTGCTGGAGCTCCAATGCTGCCTAAAGTGACTTAGTAGTCATGAACACTGACAATTTATGTAGCAAAGATGCCAGGTCAAGCTGTGCGTTTTATGATTTCAGAACGATCCAGGAAGCTGAGCAAAGGTCTTTAACTCATTCATACAAGATAAACAATTATCACAGAGATGGGGAATTATCACAGCATGTGGAATAGCCACAATGAATTTGCTTAACATCTGCCCTCTCTTTGAAGGGTCTGGCTCTCATCAATGGGACACAAATGATCACCTCGCTGGGATGTGAGGCGGTTGAAAGAGCTGGTGCTATAGCTAGACAAGCTGACATAATTGCTGCCCTTACGCTTGAAGTCTTGAAGGGTACAACGAGGGCCTTTGACACTGGTGGGTACTGAGCCTTTCCTGTCTATTCACTTAACAGCTGTTGGCAAGAGAAAAAACCTGACAGTGTAACTTGATTTACTAGATATCCATGCAGTGCGCCCACACCGAGGGCAGGCTGAAGTGGCATTTCGATTCAGGTCCCTTCTAGATTCTGACCATCATCCATCAGAAATAGCAGGTAAACAATCTTGCCCTTCATCAACAGTAGCCTGTATGCTTTCGTATGAGGGAATATTTGGGTTTTCCTCTCTTATTTCCTTTTAGAGAGCCATAGATTCTGTGACCGAGTTCAGGATGCATACACGATGCGCTGCTGCCCTCAGGTAAAATTTACTTTTATTTCTTTTCATAGCAATAGATAAATGACGGTGAAATTCCCACCTCAGAAATGCATCAATTATATGTTGTCTGACTCTGTTAGAGGTTTTATTTTGCATTTCCCTCACTTCAAAGTTAATATTAATGGACACATGTAATTTATCGATCCCATGCATGCACCCATTGGGCAGCATCTAACAAAGCTACGTTCATGTCTAGAAGAGACCACGGTGTGAGAAGCAGAGCGAAGGTGCTGGTTTCTGTGCTTGAGGGCTTTGCAGAGTCTTTTCTTCTGCAGTGATGCTAAGACCATGAACTGAGGAAAGGTGGTTCCAGAAGCAGCCAGATTGCAATATCTCAAACATAGTGAAAACTCAATCCCATAAGTTTTAGCATGTTCAAAGTTATTAAATCAGTGGAATTAATGGAAGTTAATTAATTAATGAGACTGTTTTCTGTGGGGGATTGATGAAGCTACTTCTCCCCTAATAACACTTCTACCACTGAGTAAATATCCTGTCTTCCATTTAGGGTAAACCAACCCAGACAAGTAAAGAATGACATATTCAAGTAACCCTTTTAGCGATACTGCCATAATAACAGTAAATACAGTTTTCTGCGTGTCTAGGATGGGCAGAGATGATCCTTATTTTAAAAGCAAATCCAAGACCATCTGCATGTATGGATTTAGAGACTGGGAGGATGGGAGAGTACCTGCAGCTCAGTCAACATCCTGAAGATGAAGTAAGTATGGATACTAAGATCAGGTGCTAATGTCCTTTGTTCTAGGTGCATGGAGTTGTAAACGATACAATTGCTTTTGTGAAGGACATCATGATGACTGAAATCAATAGTGCCACGGACAACCCTGTATCTTTTGATGACCTTCTTACTATGAAAAATTTTGCTTTGTCTTTTTTATCCATTTCTTCTATATAATTATTTGCATTGGAGGAAAAAGCATTGTAACTGCCTTCAGTCAAGAACTACTACAATCAAGAAGCTGCAACAGCAACTTCTCTTCCTTTTCCCATGTCCGCATTGGTGCATCCAAGCATGTATTGGGGAGAGGAAATGACATGTGCATGTGGTTTAGTGCATGTTAAATGTTTCCTAGATTAGATTGTATATGTCTATATTGAATATGTAGATAGATGGGATTTGGCAACCAAATGGACACAGACAGGTGGTGATTTGTCATATGAAACATCTGTTGGTGCAGCATGAGTGAAACCTGTACTAAATTGCACTCTGGGAAGGCAGACAAAAGACATACTGGCTGGTAAGCCTCATTGTGGCTCAGCCTCGTAAACTCTGTGTACAGTTCTCATATTGGCACTGGGCAAGGCTGGATTCCCCTCAGCAGCATAATGATGCTATATGTAACACCATATCAACTGCTAATAAGCATGACTGCTTGTAACCTGTCTAAAATTGAACCTAGCATGGAGAGAATCTATCAGACAACTGAGAAACTATGTTAGGATCCAGACACGTGTGTTTCTTTGCACCCCTCTCACCCTTGATCAAAGACCTCATTTCATGTAGTCTGTTTGGAAAAATAGATGTCAAAATTGTATCTGTAAGTTTGGAGAACTGAGATTGGGTCTTCATTTTCTCAAAAGTGAACACACAGATGTAATATAATGTGCTTGCAAATAGGAACCTGTTAACACAAACATTCCTTCAGTTAAGATACTCTGATTAGTGACAGATATCTGTCATGTAAACTGAATTTTCACTCATATTTTTACCTTAACTTCTCCTTAAAGATGGTGTTTGCTGAAAGAGCAGAGACCATTTCTGGAGGAAATTTTCATGGTGAATATCCTGCAAAGGTAATTAAGCATTTGGAGAAAGAAAAACTAAAAGTTGGTTTCTGTTTTGGTTTTCTATTTGTTTGTTTCTCCTGTCATCTGGTTTAATGAGATCTTCTTGTATAGGCTCTGGACTACTTGGCAATTGGTGTGCATGAACTTGCTGCAATTAGTGAAAGAAGAATTGAGAGGCTCTGCAACCCCTCGCTCAGCGAACTGCCTGCATTTTTAGTCACTGAAGGAGGTCTGAACTCTGGCTTCATGATAGCACACTGCACAGCAGCTGCCCTGGGTGAGTGCTTGAGCAATATCAAGAGAAAGCTAGAAAGACCATTTTATGTCAAGGCAGTTGTAATTTGGTAATAGATACAAAGGCATCTCACTCCTGTTTTCCATCTCTTCTCTATGAGCTGGGTACAAAGTTTTAAGTTCAGTCCAGCTACAGTTATTTCAGCTCAGGATTCTTTATTCTGCATTGACCCATGGACAAGTTTAGTGCTCTGAGCGTGCAAACCCTTAGGGGTGGACTTTTGTGAGAACACTTGCCTGATTGCATCTTTATGGGATTGGCACGGAGTTTTCTCATTTAGTCACCAACATAAGAGCCCTGGGATATTACAGTTCATAGGTTCAGGAGAGCAACAGCCAACGTAAACATGCTGTGAGTATAGAGGGTAAATTATAAGAGATGCAAATAGACAGAGGAACAGAACATGTCAGATAAATGTGTACGTAAACATCTTGCAGGAAAGAATAGTCGGTGAACTAAATCAGTGTGATAAAGGAGCACTGCCTAGAGGCTGGTTTTGGAAGTGGGTCTGGAAAAGGAGCTGAAGTGCTTGTCCCCTTTTTTGAAGGATGGAAACTTTTCCTTTTGGCTGGGCAGAGTTTAGGTTGGCTCCAGGCGTTAGCTGTTACTTGGCTTCAGGTTTTGCAGCTCACATCTGCAATCTGGAGTGAGAGGTTCTGGGGTGCTTATGGTCTTTCCTTCAGGGAATGAAAATGACCTCCCTGCCTCCTTAACTCATCACTGAGCTGACACCAGGACTTCATGGGTTAGAGAAGATCTGCATGCATCCAGAGCACTGTGAATGCAGACTTCATTTCCGCTGTTCTAAAGAGCAGTCCTCAAGCTCAAATTGGTTTTGGATGGTGCCTATAGTCCTTCCTGCAGCCAAATTCCCCTTGCTTTTGAGCACAGCTGAAGAGACTTACTCCAGGTCTCCCACCTGTCTTTCAAAGCTGGAGTGCTTCCAACTTGTGGGTGTATGTGCCCAGAGGAGGCACATGGGCAGTCTCATAGCAAGGCAAGGAGGGTGGGAGAGGATTTGTATCATGCTCCTGCATCTTCCCGGAGCAAGTTCTGCAAGGGCCTCTGCTCTGATGTGAAGAGACCGGATGCTGATCTCAAGCTCTTTTCTTGAAACCGGGGGGGGGGGGGGCATGTCTGTGACCGAAAACAGAGGTTGCCTTGGAGTAAGAGGCATGCCAGGCTTGTATTTCAGTGATGCTGCCCACTCTTTTTCTTCAGTTTCCATCAAGTCTTTGAGTCAAAGCAACACAACCCTGAAGGTGGGAGAGGAGAGAGCAGTTCTTCTATATTTGGTTAATATTTGCATCTCAAGGCTTTTGAGAACCTCAATGTACACAAGTCCATGGGACCTGATGAAATCCATCCGCGGGTCCTGAGGGAGCTGGCTAATGAAGTTGCTAAGCCACTGTCCATCATACATGAAAAATAATGTCAGTCAGGTGAAGTTCCCGATGACTGGAAAAAGGGAAATACAACCCCCATTTTCAAGAAGGGGAAAATGGATGACCCGGGGAATTACAGCCCAGTCAGTCTCACCTCTGTGCCTGGCAAAATCTTGGAGCAGATTCTCCTGGAAGGCATGCTAAGGCACAGGAAAAGCAACAAGGTGCTTGGTGGCAGCCAGCATGGCTTCACTAAGGGGAAATCCTGCCTGACCAATCTGGTGGCCTTCTATGATGGGGCTGCAGAACTGATGGACGGGGTAGAGCAGTTGATGTCATCTCCCTGGACTTGTGCAAAGCGTTCGACACTGTCCCACACGACATCCTTGTCTCTAAATTGGAGAGACATCAATTTGATGGATGGACCACTCGGTGGATAAAGAACTGGCTGGATGGCCGCACACAAAGAGCTGTGGTCAATGGCTCAATGTCCGGCTGGAGATCAGTAACGAGTGGTGTCCCTCAGGGATTGGTGTAGGGAGGGACTGGTCTTGTTCAACATCCGTTGGCAACATGGACAGTGGGATTGAGTGCACCCTCAGCGAGTTTGCCGATGACACCAAGCTGTGTGGTTTGATTGATACGCTGGAGGGAAGGAATGCCATCCAGAGGGACCTTGACACACTTGTGAGGTGGGCTGATGCCAACCTCATGAGGTTTAACCTTGCCAAGTGCAAGGTCCTACACCTGGATCGAGCAATCCCAGGCACAGCTACAGGTTGGGCAGAGAAGAGATTCAGAGCAGCCCTGTGGAGAAGGACTTGGGGGTGTTGGTTGATGAGAAAATGAACATGAGCTGGCTTCAGTGTGTGCTCGCAGCCCAGAAAGCCAACCGTATCCTGGGCTGCACCAAGGTGACCAGCAGGTCGAAGGAGGTGATCCTGCCCCTCTACTCTGCTCTTGTGAGACCTCACCTGGAGTATTGTGTGCAGTTCTGGTGTCCTCAACATAAAAAGGACATGGAACTGTTGGAACAAGTCCAGAGGAGGGCCACGAGGATGATCAGGGGACTGGAGCACCTCGCGTATGAAGACAGGCTGAGAAAGTTGGGGCTGTTCAGCCTGGAGAAGAGAAGGCTGCGTGGAGACCTCATAGCAGCCTTCCAGCATCCAAAGGGGGCTTATAGGGATGCTAGTGAGGGACTCTTCATTAGAGACTGTAGTGATAGGACAAGGGGCAATGGGTTAAAACTTAAACAGGAGAAGTTTAGATTGGATATAAGGAAGAAGTTCTTTCCTGTAAAGGTGGTGAGGCACTGGAATGGGTTGCCCAGGGAAGTTCTGAATGCTCCATCCCTGGCAGTGTTCAAGGCCAGGATGGACAGAGCCTTGGGTGACATGATCTAGTGTGAGGTGTCCCTGCCCATGGCAGGGGGGTTGGAACTAGATGATCTTAAGGTCCTTTCCAACCCTAACTATTCTATGATTCTAAGCCTGATATTGGTTGCTGTTTTCAGAGGCAGTGGTAGTTTTCAAGGTGCTTATTACGGATTTTGATGCATCCTCAAAAGAGGAACAATAGTTGGACCTGAGGCGGTGGACAGGCTCTTTGCTCCAGAATGGCCATTTCTTCTGCTGTCTCATGCCCATTCTGTCCTAAATTCATTGCACTGTTTTCTTGCAGTTTCTGAGAACAAAGCCTTGTGCCACCCCTCTTCTGTCGATTCTCTCTCAACCAGTGCTGCTACAGAGGATCATGTGTCCATGGGAGGATGGGCTGCAAGAAAAGCCTTGAGAGTTATTGAACATGTGGAACAAGGTAAAGTTAAAACACTGATTTCCTCACAGGCCTTAAATGTGTAACTACGTGAAGATATTGGTGCCATTCTTTTTAGATATATTTTAAGAAAAAAAGGAGTTAATGCACCTGAAAGAACTGTCTCAAAAATGTTCACATACTTTTACAAGCATTTTGACATTTCTACCAGTAATCAGGTAAATCTGGTACTAAATATTTCTTATGAAACAAAACCTCTTACTGCAGGACACTCAGCAAAACTTTCCTCCCTTGCTTACAGGGGATTACAGATTGCTTACAGAAATCTTGCTTACAGGTTGCTCTCTTGGTTGTTTATTTATTTATTTGGCAGATGATGTGCTTAGATATACTGTGTCGCTGTTAGTATGAGTAATACATGGCACACAAATACTGAACTCACCCACTAAGTTTATACTGTTGAGTGCTCTGAAGACTTAGTTCTATAGAAACTATTTTTTGTGCATAAAGAAAAGAGTTTGAGGAACTGTGTGTTTCAACAGTGTGCTGAGAAACAGCGTGTCCTAGATCCAGTTGGTTCGTTCAGATCCTTGGGGGAACTGGCTTGTAAAAGTGAGGAACTAATGTCAATAATGAATGATCAGGTGTGAGGTGGGTAGATAACGTGCAAACTTCTCTGGACAGAAGACTCTCTTCCAAACCTCTGTAATTTTCCTGGTGCTTCCATGTGGGCTCTTGCAAGTTTCTTAGGCAGAACTTTCTTTAATAGCTCAGGCCCCTTTCTTCTCAGTCCTGAAGAGATTTTCTTAATTGCGATGGCCATTAATTTGAGTATTCAAAATAGCCTGGAAGAGATTCCTATGGATTTAAGACTGTGGTGACCTTGAGTTCCTGGCACACTGAACTGCAGAGCACTCACAATCTGCTTGCTAAAATGCTGGATACTGCCTCCAGCACCATTCATAACACAATCCTGATGCTGGGCCACCTCTCTGGGGTGTGTGGATCCACTGGTCTGTTCACATTGCCTAAAATCATATCATATGATCTAGAATAAATGCCAGCAATAGCTTTATGAGGGAAGGACCAGCCTTGAGCTGGTCCTGCAAAGTACCCCTTTCACTGTTCTGATTTCCTAGTTCTGGCTATCGAGCTGCTTGCGGCCTGCCAGGGCATTGAATTCCTACGCCCTCTGAGAACAACAACCCCATTGGAGAAGGTCTACGACCTTGTGCGCTCCGTTGTGAGGTAAGATCAGATAAATGTCTCCCCAGCTGCTGACAGTGGTGGTTAATGTTTGGCCAATGTCTGTAATGCGTCTCGTTACAGGCCTTGGATAAAGGATCGCTTCATGGCCCCAGATATTGAAGCAGCTCATAGGCTGCTCGTGGAGCAGCAGGTGAGTGTTGAGTCTCGGCACGAGTGGTACAACTGTCCTGAGGAGCACACTGCAGCGCTGCTTTGGAAATAACCTTCCGTATATTCACTGGATGGGAGCACTAAAAGCAGTCTTCCTGGGGCAAACCCACTGGATTTCTGGTGTTTGATTTGCCTTAGTTTTTAGTGGGATAGATTTAGAAATCAGTTCCTAAACTCGCCCTTGTATTGCTTGTGTAATAGATAGATTACATTATTAAGTCCAGCAGTGTCCAGGCATAGGTCCAACTTTGAATTGCTTAAGGGCAGGGTCCTATAAGCCCACAGATCTTCACAGAAATCAGCAGCCTCTCCAGAGGGTGATCCTCATTCCTGGGCCAATGAGGGTTCCCTAGCCTTGAGGCCCGTGGGCGTGGTCTGGATGCAATGAGACATGGATGAGGGAATAGTAGTGGTGAAATCTGTTAACCTGGGCCAAGTGTCTGCATAGCTATAGGATCAATCCATTTTATTTGTTCGTAAAATACAACAGAAGAATTGAAGAGAGTAAGCAAATGGGAGAGGAAAATCACCTCTTTTTTACCTTCTTGCAGCCCTTACAGAAGGAGAGACGGAGGAAGCTGTAGAACACTGCTTTTATGCCTTAAACCCCAGCTGCCATCCCTCCCCTTTTAATTTGTCCATGCCTGCTGCTATTTTCCTTCCTCATCCCCATCATAACCAAGTACTTCTGTAGGAAGTGACAGTGATCCTCTCCCAGCTATTGCACACAGAACATCAACCTGGTAGCAATACAAGATGCAATGGTTTTGCCTTTAATCCTTTCACCTTGCTGCCCCCACCCCCCCCCCCACCCCGGCCCCAAGCTGTATTTTTTCCTGTCAACTCCATCCACATGCACTTCCTTAAACCTCACTCTGGCTGCTTCTCTGGTCCTGCTGATCACATACAATGTATCTGCATAGGCCTGTAATTCTCATCCAACCCAGTGACTTTCCTACAGGGTTTCCTGAACTTGTGCGTTGATGTCTCACCTGACCTTTTGTTTTGCCTCTGTTTCTGCTGTTTCACTTTCTTGTTTTGCAGGTGTGGGAAGTGGCTGAACCTTACATTGAAAAGTACAGGAGGGAACACATCCCTGAATCGAGACCCATTTCACCAACAGCTTTCTCCCTGGGATTGCTGGATCATATAGGTGTTGGTCATGACCACAGGCATCAGAATGAACTTTAAGAGAGCAGATCCTTTCCAGGACTTTGCCCAAGGGTAGCTGTTCTATTTGAACTCAGTGTGGTTTCTTCAGGTGAACCAAAGGACTTGACTGTGTAGCTCAGGAGCGCATAGAGATAGTAAAGAAATGGCTCACTAGTTTCCTTACATGTGAAAGACAGTCTATCATGATAGTGTGGTTTTGACTGAATTTCCTGAGCTTCTAACACAAAGCATTAATGGATGTTTTGCACAGGGCATCCTGTATTTGTTTTTTCAGCTCTTCTCTTGTTTTCTCCTCAGCTGTGCCAATGATACCAAACAACCTAGGTTTGATATTCTCGCCTTTATTTTTTTTTCCTTGGAGTAACTGCTATGGTCCCCTTCATTCTGCCTCAACAAAATTATCTTAAGGAGACTTAATTATCCTCTTTCTTGCAGATCATGTGTGAGGTACAGGTTCTTGTATTTTTAGAGCAGGTGCTTCATAAATCACAAAAGCTGTGCGCATGAAAATGTACTTTGGAGGGTATTGTTCCAGAGCAAATATGTTGTGTTCTCGTGATGAACTACACTCGATGCAGCTTTCCAAGAGCTATGAGCTCACACCTGCAATAAATAAACTGAGGTTTCATATACAGCTGCAGCAATCTATTTTCCTGTCATGTGTGATGATGAAAATGTAAAGCAAAAGCTTAATTTGGAAATAGGAGAGGTGGAACAGGGGCCAGGAAAGCAAGGGAGAGGAGGAGATGTAGGAGTTGTAGATCTGAGCTGGTGCTGAAGCAATAGCACAACATCTACACTCCCATGGCTCACCAGCTATCCAAAGGCTCCATCGCCACAGAGGGGCTGGTGTCACAGTGTGCTGTGTTACAGTACTGACCTCTGGTACAGGCTTTGTTTTGCAAGGGAAGAGTCAGGACTTGGACTTCACATCATGGTGCAGTGATGACATGTGAAGACTGGTTAACAAACACCAGCCCTGGCACTACTGGCCTGATACCCATGGCTGGAGGGGGTTCAGCATGAGCTAGAAATCTTCCCAGGCTGTCAGCTGTGCTGCAAGGGACAGCAAAAGCCTAGTATGGGGCTGCCATCAAGTGTCTGAGAGCTACAGTGTTACATGAGCCCCCAGGAGAGGACCCATGCCTGTTGGCCAGCCAGCAGGGAGACATCTAACCTGGCCAGAAGACCCGGCAACTGGGGTATCTACTCATGGCACAAGAACTTTTATCTCCCTTCTGCATCTCACTTGCAGCATCTCTGGCCTCTGTCTCTCCTGCACCAATTCAGTCCCTACTCTTTCAGCCCAAGGCTCTGTAGCAGGCATATCCAAGTCTCCCCCTGAAGCTGTTCCATTCTGTGTAAAATAAGGTATTAATTAAAATCAAGTGTGAGAACAAGCAGCCAGGCTTAGAGCTTGTAGGGCCAACATTTGCCTTCAGCCTCATGTTATGGCTAAACCATATGGTTCCTTCAGCAGCAAAGCCAGCAGAAGTTTCCATGTCCCACCCCCAGCCGCTGTGGGAGCCAGCGAGTGAACGTCATTGCTGCCACATGAAAAGCAAACAAACAAAAAACTGCATTTCAGTGGGATGTGCCCTCCCTGACAGCTGCATGGCATGGTGGTAACACTGCAGTGGCAGGACCATGAAGGTGGAGGTGCGGGAACACTGAAGCCAGCTGCATCACCAAAGTGTATCTGCCTGCTCTAACTGCAAACCTGCCATTAATTACAGTCCTGGGGTGTATTTCCAAACGGCTACTGGATTTGCCTGAGCTGGTCAGGCAAGCACATGGTTTATGGTTCCCATGAGAAAAGAATCCCCTCACATCAGTAGTTTCAGGCCACGAATGCCTATTCCTGTCCAGCAGAAGAATATTTGAGGTTTTTCTTATGCAGTCTTGGGCCCCTCAATGCCTCAGGCACTTCAGAGGGGAGGTGCTAGGCACTGGTCCCACTCACACCACTTCTGGCTGGCTGGGACCAAGGGACCACCAGCACAGATTGCAGCAGGGTGGCCTCAGCTTCACACTGTTCCTGTGAAAAGCCAAGAGGCACTGCTCTAGCCACACACTCATACCCTGACAGCTCCCCCAACTGACTGCTTGGATGTTATTTATGAAGGCTGCCTTGGTTAGAACGGACTGTGCAATTGCATACTTCAGGTGTTCTTCCAAGCTCTATGAAGTCCACACCCACATCTGGTGCAACATCTGCTTACGGGAAAACACATCTAGTGGCAGGAATGCCGTTAAATTGTTTTGAAAACTGATTTAGTTGGTTTGCATGGCTCAAAGCAGGAACAAAGATACTCTATGGGGGCTTACGTATTTTGGATGTTAGCAGATGTGCCAAAGGTCGGGAGATCAGAAGATCATAATAAAGCTCATACATGTTTGTGATGGCTTTCAACTATCTGTTGGTCAGAATGAGACTGTTGTTCTTCCTCAGGGGTCTGGTTCACTAAACCACTACTCTGTGCCACAGGTTATGCCACCTGATTGTATCAATATAATTTTTGATGCTGAGTTCTTAGTGCTTGTCAGGTGTAGTTTTATGACTTTCAGAAAATGAAGTTCTTTTGTTTTTGTAGCCACCATTTGAAGTTGAAGAAAAGCCTCAGCCAGTGTGTATTCAGAGACCCTCCCTACCCCAGACCATCTGCTTAAACACTGCAGCAGCTTGAACTCCCCAGAGCTATATCATCCTTTTTTCTTCATGTCACTTCCCCAAATGATGGCAGAAGCCCCAGAACAAAAAGAATAAAAATAGCAGTGGAAAGAAAAAGAGAAAGAGAGCTTTAAAAAAAACAGGATCTTCTGACATTGCTCTGAGTAGGTGTTGTCATACACTTAACTTATCATCAGAAGCATGTTCAAACTTAGCTGATCATTAGAAGCACATTCAAACTTGACATGTCTTCAAACATGTCTTGTGTTATTTCAGATTCAGCCTAAAATAAACTAAATCAGGTGGATTTTGGAACATCAACATGACACTGCATGTGACTTTTTAAATCCCAAGGTAATTGAGATTTGGAGAGTTTGGCTGCACTCATCAGACCTCACTGGGTTAACTGCCTGTAAGAGTAAACTGTAAAGACTTGGCATCACTCATTTCCAACAGTAAGCCTGACTCAACCTCTAACCTACAGTGCACTCCAACTTCCAGCAGCCAGTGAGCAGTGTACTTGCATTTTCCTCTCCTCCTTCTTCTTGCCCCTGTAGCTCCAAAGGAGCTGGTTGATCCTTGGCAAGGGAAGATGTTGCAGATCAGCTGGTGAGCAGCACCTTGCTGGGCTCCCAACTGCTGGCTCCTGCTGAGTTTGAAGGCTGCAGAAAGCAGATGGGTATTTTGGAGAGGTCGGATACTGTGCTTCCCACCATGACTCCGGTTCTGGTATCTGCTTAGTTTGGGACTGAGCAGACCCAGGAGCTATGAACATTGCCTTGGGCCTCCCAGTACCACCAAGGACCATTCCAAATGTCCATGTCTCAGCCTCTGGCCCTCTGTCATGGGTCACTCTTCCCAATAAATCTTACCTGATTATGAACTTCTTCATTCATTGGTGGTTTCTTTGGGTTATTTTCAAATACAATATGTAAGTTTATAGATGAATAGATTTGATAGATTAATTGTGTAAGAAACCATTTTTTGAAACTGACTTATTTCAAAAGGATACAACTAGGAATTATATTCATGCAGTAGAGAGAAGGACAACAGACGTGAAAATGTTCCAAATGGGTAATGCTTGGTAAAGTTTATTTCAACAAGAGGCTGGTAAGGTGAGCAGGCAAACAATTTACTGGTACAATACAAACCTGATTTGTCTGTTGCTTTGAAATACTCCATGCTAATAGTAGCTTCCAAATTATCATCATTCTTAAATTATCATCTCTCAGTAACTGATCATTGTCTCACACCTCTCATTTTGATAGATGACTTTTCCTTTAACTATAACGTAGCTGATCAATGCTTCATGTCCCCCAAACTGGTAAATCAAGTGCTCCCACCTAAAAAGACAAGAGGTATAAGAATATCCAGACTTGCATTAGAGTGGCTTATATACCTAGTACACCTGGTAATTATAAAAGATTTGCTTGAACCATGGGAAAACACTATTCCAGGTGTACATGTTGATTTCTTTTTGCATGAACACAGTGAGTTCATGTGCAAATGATAGTGATCATCACTATCACTGTAGTGATATGACAAGGGGGAATGGCTTTAAGCTGAAAGAGGGTAAGTTTATATCAGACATTAGGAAGAAGTTCTTCAGGTGTTCAAGGCCAGGTTGGACAGGGCTTGGAGCAGCCTGGTCTAGTGGAAAGTGTCCGTGCCCATGGCAGGGGGGTTGGAACTGGATGAGCTTTAAGGTTCCCTCAAGCACAAACCATCCTATGACTTCTTCTATGATTCTGAATCAGTAGAAAATTCCTTCCATGAAATAAGCAGGTATTGCCTTTAGATAAGTTGTAATTAGGCATGGATTATTTGTAATATTAGTGCCAAAAGTCCTAGGCTTTATTTTCCAGTGGAGCAATTAAGGAGAATGAAAGTGGGTCTAAAATGCTAGTGGCACAAGAAGTTCACTAACCTCTCCACTATGCAAACATGGTGAAAACCAGTCCCTTCTGTTAAATCACATTTCAGATGACAATGGAAGAACAAACCTTGATGAATTTATGATCACAAGATCCCCCTGCTTGCCCATCTCTATGGAGCCATGTGTATCCGATTTTCCCAGAGCATAAGCTGCATTAATGGTGGCAGCTGCCAGCGCTTCATTCATTGACATCTTCATGTTTACACAGGCCAGATGCATCACCATAGGCTAATAGGCAAGTTAAGTGGAAAATGGGAGTTATCAGTAACACAAATAAAGCTGTTCATGCCTCAGATCCCTAAGCGCTCCTCCCTCCTTGTGCAACAGGAGTTGTTCTGTGTAATGTAAATCTTGCTAACTCCAGAATCAGAAATCTAAAATCAGGAACTTTGAGAACCTTTTTTATAAGCCTCTCAGCTTACACAAAGAATAGAACCCCTTCTGGTTTCAAGAATTGCTGGCAAAAACTACCAACACACTTCAATAAGCATGAGCAGTTGTCTAATCAGGTGATACAGCTCTCTTTGCAGATACAAAGACAGTTTTAAGCATGCGAGATCTACACATAAGTTGTACTAGTAAGAGACTGCGTAATTTTGTGGTGTCGTAAGAATGAAAAATAGCTTACCATTGAAAAACAGTATGCATTGGGATTAAAGTCACTGCCAAGAGCAACTATAACTCCTTCTTCTAACATTTTTCTAGCTTGAGGCTGCTTCAGTCTAGCGGGAAAAACACTTGTCAGTACAATTCACTTAGTTAATATGTGATGATTTACAAAAGCAAAAGCCACCACTCCGTTTGGCTAGATGCATGCATTCAGCTACACTGATTCTTTTGGGGATGAAGGCCCACATTCTCCTCTTGGCTCTACCTATCACCCTACAGATACCGAGAACAGGAATTGTGATCCATTCCCATCATGTGGGAGCAGCCAGGATCAACCATCAGGCTTCAGGCCACTGAAATTCTGGTATTTATCCAGACCTCAGCCATGCCAGGATTTAATAGGTGAAAATCTTCAT